ATAGAACATCAAACACTAACAGAATTACATGTTCATAAAATTGAGAAAATATCAAATTATTTTATGAAATGTATTATGTTCTTCATCAAAGAGCCACAATGACACATGCTTTGTAACATTAAAATATTAAATTTATAAGTCATATCCTCAATTTAATAACTGTTTTCATTGGTTAAGCCAGAAATGCATAAAATTAATAGAAAATTTTTATGTATCAAAGACTCCCTGCCCCTTATAGCATACGAAATTAAAAATCATACAGCTATTATAAAAAATAGCATTGCATAATTTTTGACATTCCCATCTTTCATTAAACTAGCATTTGACAGCATAAATTAAAAACAGCAACAGTAGTTGTAAAATTACATACATTTATATAGAAAATAACACAATTATGCAGGAAAATATCTAGTTAATTAATATTTGTAATATTAGAATTTTTTTCTTTTGCTTTCATTTAGATATCAGATATACACAGTAGCCATCAGAATTTCTAAGCTGTTTTTATGTTCAATATATTCACATTCACAATGCATTATACAGCGTTTAAAAAAAGACTTTACAGCTAAACAACTCTTGAAGCATCTAAAACACAAATTAAGTAAAAACAGGTTTTCAGTCTGCAGTAATTTTATTCATGTAATACTGTTGCATGTGTACAGGTTTGTAATAGATTGAATGCACAAAGAACCGATGACAGCTTGATAAAATTTATTTTTACCAAAAGAAACTCTTTACAGTTCTGGAACTTTCCACAAAAAGTCTCAAACAGCTCTTCTCAGTATTAAAGAGCACAATCAGTAGTTACACTTCAAACCGTTAAACACAATGCAATGCACATCTAAAAGGTGAAACTCTGAAGGATATCTCAATACTCCGAATTTAGCTCTGAAAGAACAACTGAGAACTCACTTTGGCTAATATAATTTTCCACCTGCCACAGAGAAATCTCTAGTACCCTCCACTTCTCGAAATTATTGGAAGGCATACGAGGACCAGATACGGTTACAGCTATACAGAGCATCAATTACGATAAGGATAAAAATATTGCCAAGTTTGGCCAATTTAGTGAGTCAGCCATTTACTCAATATTAGATAGACTTGCCCTGGTAGTCTTATTTTTCTGGCACAGCATCTTCTCTTTCAAGCATTCCATGTTACATTATACGAAAAATACTACAATTTCACATATTATATTATACACATATGTATAAAATATTATATGTTATTATATATTATAATATTACATATGTATAAAATATTATATACATATGTATAAAATTCGTAACAATACTTTCAAGTAAAATGCATTTAAATTTTTATGTCTATCCTATGTCTATCCTGAAACCAAAAACTGGTAAGAAAAACTTTTTTTCATAATCAGTTTGTCAAGAAGAGAAGGAGACTCATACAACCAAAAATTATTGTAAAATAAATTATAAATTACTATAAAGTTATAGTTAATTAAAATCTTCAAGGATATCACAAAATATTGTAAAAGTTAACTATGCATGCCAAAGACCTTAATTTAAAAGCACTGGTTTCAAATTACAGTCCACAGACATGCTAAAGTTTAATTTTATATGCCTAATTCCAACCCTCCCCCCCCCAACTGACAGTTCTTAATGTTATATAAATTCAATAATTTTTTCAAAGACAATTTCTTGTATTATGGATTGCAACTTTTTCTAAAAGACTTTCTGCAGTATGAAAATGATACTAATATGAATTTTTTAGGGGGGACTAACGGAAAAATTTAATTATTTTAAATATTTTTAATGATTTTATAAAAATGTTACATATATGATTAAAATTATTATTGTTTGAAGCCTACTTTTAAAACCAATTATTTAAGATATATTAGGTGGGCAATCTTTTTGCAACACTTGCAAAGTGTATCTGAAAAGTTACACAACTCTTCTTCAGATGTTTGTCTTGCAACATACTACATATAATTTACTCAACAGGCACTAGCACTAATAAAACAGGAATGTTAGATAAATACTGTGGATACTGGCAATTCCGGATTATAGATCATCAGTTTAAATCTGGTAAGATGGCATGCAGAAATTATAAAATTAAAAATATGAAACCGTAATTTATGAAATAAAGAACAATTATGATCTAAAGGGTATCAAAATTTACACACAAAAAAAAGCTTAATATTTATTTGTTTACTTTATTAAACATTTCTTTCAATGTAGGTTGTTTAAGTTGCTTTGTTTTTTATGTGATAATACTTTCTCTTTAATTCTATAAACAGAAAATTTCTTGTTGAGTTACAAAGTTCCGCTGTTGAAGTCCTATATTGCTGCGTCGAAAGGGAATTATAATGATGAGGAATTTGATTTAAATCATATCAAAGACGGAGTACATCAAGATAAAATACTACATTTAGTAAGGAATTATAAGCCAAATAAAATAAAAACATCTGCCCTGAAGATAAGGATAGTGCTGACAGATCAACTTCCAATTCATTTCGCGCCGCAGAGCAGCGTGAAATTGATAAACAGATTTTGGAATGGTTAGATAAACAAAGGATATACCTTTATCCATTTTTTGCAGCAATTCCACTTTTTGTTTAATGGACTTCGAAACACACTTTCGCTTTGTAGATCCTTTACATATTAGTAAATATATATCAGAAATTCTTTTTGACATAATCGAAAGTTCAAGCTTACTTTTATAAAATTGCTCTAACTGTCTGCAAAAAGTAATAAGCTGGATCCAATTCGAAGATTAAGGAACAACGCAATCTGCAACATCAACTGAATTAGATAATTTTAGCTTAGCTTATACCGTCCGTTATACATTAAACGCGCATTCGTAAACATATTTTGCGCATGCGCACACGCATATTCGCAGCTGTAAAGGTCTTACGCGCCGCATGTGCAGAAAGTTTTGTAGCTTTGAGGTCCGGATTATGGGTGTCCGAATTAACGACTTTTGAATGTATTTCTTTAACCCTTTGATGCGTGGTTGTCGCACTGTGAAACCACCAATTTTCGAATTTTTTTTCTCCTCTTCCTTCCGAAATTTTTGAGTGAAAATCAATTGATTATTGATCTTTTACCTCTAAATAACAGAAAACAACTTCAGAATCATACATGTTTTAGGTCTTAGTACTTCAAATCGGATGCCTTTTAAAATTCGTTTTCAATGAGACAAAATAACTTCCTTTTATTAATATAAACAACTTTAAATTTCAAAAGTTATTCATTTCACATCATGATTTCTACAATAAACAATAAAAAATAGCAATAATTAAACTGCATGTATAAAAAAACCCTCTATATGTATGGCATTTGCTTTTATGGTTTCAGGGTGTGGCCACTGCACCACTAGAGCATTGTGTCACAATGCTCTAGAGGCTCGGTGGTCGTACCTTGAAACCACTGCTCTTTACAATGCCATTTGCTTGCTTCTCAAATAGGAATGTTTATTTTTACCTGGATATAGATAAGGGGTTTTGAAACCACAGAGTTATTTTATTACTAAACAATACATGCACCTGCCCAGTAAAAAGGTCTTTCTTTTCCACAGACTTTTCTCCGATCTCAACACACTTGCTCCCCAAGCTAGTACTGTGATTTTGCAAATTATTTCCTGTGGTTTAAATTTAATGTATATATACTTTGCTATAATTAAAAATAGAAAATTGAGTAAAGTTTTATTTAATTTAAAAATATTTTATGAATATGTTGGGACGAAATATGAATAAAATAAGTATGAATGGGAAACGAATGATCCGTACCAAAGCCAAAAAGACCAAGTCCCCCAATTAACATAAAAAAAAAAAAAAAAAAAAAAAAAAAAAAAAAAAAAAAAAAAACCCCACAAATTTCACGTGCCAGATGAAAAGAAACTAAATAATGCTGGATATACACCAGTGAAATTTAGATCCAGGCAGTGTACATTTTGTAGCATTTAGATCCAGGCAGTGTACATTTTGAAGTGTGCTACAAAATGTATTTGTAGTACATTTTGTAGCACACTTCTATGAGGTTTCAAAATGTACAGTGTACATTTTAAAACCTCATAGAAGATACATGTGGAGAAATGTGCAATGTGGGTCTATGCATGTTCCAAAAAGACAAAACATGCTTTGAACAGTGTCACAAAAACTTATTGTTCTTTGATATATATAGTATATATTATATAAACACCCACCACTGAGTCTTTTTTTTTTTTTTTTGTATCTTTATTTTACTGAGTTTTTAAATCCATTTAGACAAATGTCTTTATAATGTAGGTTACTTATATTTTCACTGCTACAGAAAAATTACATAAATTATTTTTTAATTTTTTCTGACAATTTACTTTGTAAAATAACGTTAAAAAAATTATATATTATGCAATGCATACATACATTTTTTTAAAATTCGTAAATTTCATCATTTATTGGAAAGGTAAGTTTTTTCCCCTACTACCTAGGTAAGTTTCAAAGTCCTAGACCTGCGGTCGTTTCACAGTGTAACCACCACCCACAGAACAATGGGCAAGAGTAGGTTTTTTTTTAAAATTCATACATTATTTCTCTCTAAGATCATAATATTCAATTTCTAGAGTTTTTAGTTAAAAAAATTATAAAAATAATACCGCACGCATCAAAGGGTTAACACATGAATAGAAGAAACAAATGGATCAAGAAATGTGATAGGAATATTACAAATGGTTTCAAGCATTTGTTGGAGACAGAACTGAAAACAACTTATACAGTGTTCATTAACGATAAGAGACTTCAAGGCTTTCTAAGCTCTGATGTTGCCAAAATTACTTATGCCTAATGAGAAACAAATTTCTTTACAGCCATTTAGTGTAATTCCATGATACAGAGCATGGGTATTTGATTCAATTTTATGGCACATAACATAATTGTTTGACAAACTATTCGAAAACCTTCATAACATGACTTCCAAGATTACCTACAGATGGAATAACAATTTTCTCAGTGCCGAAAAGTACTTTAAAAAATTTGAAACATAAAAAAAAGAACATACCATGATTTTGAGGTGATTTCTGTATTGGCATAACTAGGTTCAGGAGCTCCTTCCTCCGAATTTGTGCAAGTTCAGCATAATGTACAGATGGACTGACTGGTGTTTGTCGGTGAGGGTTCCAAAGAAGAGGACGGGGGAGATAATGTAGTTGGAGCTACAGCACCTGAAGACGGTCGTGGCCAAGTTCCACATCCACTACTTGTGTTTTTACCATGAGCTATTTCTGAATAAGAGATGCTGACACCTTTAACAAGAACAATGAAAAGCACTTCAAAAAGCATATATAAGAAACATTATTTTATGCTCAAATTCTAAACACATTAAACAAATAAGGTGCCAATTTTCAGTGTTTTGCTTATGAAAAATAACATGTTTACATGCATTTAAACATGTAACATAGATTTAAAAGCCCCCTAAAATGAATTGTTTTCAAAAATGCAGGATTTTTTTAAACTCAGTGTTTCTATAATAATTTAGGAGATCTCTCTTAAAATAATAAAAAATTATCTAACTGCATGACAAACTGATAAACATTTCAGTATTTTTTAAATAAAATCAAAATTTTTTTCTGGCAATCTTTAAATATAATACATGGAAAATATAGATTAGATTACCATGTTTACAGTAACTGGAATTGTGTAAGTACAACCACTACTTTTCTGTCAGCTGGCTAGACACAGCAGTTTGAAAACTGGTAAATGGCCTTAGGGAATGAGTTGGACAGATCTGTGCTTGGCAAGTGAATTAGGCTATTCTTGGTAGATGAATAAAGTTTCACAGTTGTCTTTATATGTGGCAAACAAAGATCTGCTGTTTATTGAATGCATTCATGAAGACTTTCTCTATGCAGATAGCCCTAGAGCACCTTGCCATGATTAAAAAAACCCAATCCAATATACTCTATTCAGTGCTGACACAATTTTTTTACACAGATATTTTGAAGGTTGCAGCAGTTTGCAGATACTATGCAATGGGAATGTACCCTGGTGATGCTAATTTATTTACGTCAAGTACTTCATTACTATTAATGCTATATGAAATAAACTGCTAATTTAAAATTAATTAACAAAAAAAAAGATGAATCAGTTGCTCAAGCATTTTACAATTTCTTTATTATTATTAAGGAATCGATAAAAATGGTTATCATACTTTGTAAAATACCAAAGACTTCTTTAAACAGATTAATTATGTAAATAATAGAACAATTTTATAGCAATGAAAATTTGTTATGTCCTCAATAGTAGCAATAACAAGATTTGTCATTGTCACATACAAAAATAAGATTCATTAAATCAGTTAAAATACACAGATCAGCAAAATGACACATACAGTATAATTTTTGATAATGTAAGACTTTTAAGTGCAAAATGAAATAATTCTTTATAACAACACACATACTAGATATCCAGATCTAGCTTAAATCACCAAGTAACAGGACAGAACTTTTAATTTAGAAAGCTTCCACATTTTCTGCTACAGGATTATTTTGCACCAAAATTTAGTCAAAACTACACAATGCAATATATAAAATAATTTATCTTGGGCATATTTTAATGTACAATAAAGAATTAAAATTGCATTAAATGTGGTTTAAATTTTCCCCAATACCTTTTATGTAAATAATAGTAACAAATTGCAAAAAATATAAATTTTAGTTCTGATTAAATAAATATTTTAATACACGTTTATTTATTTATTTTTTGTTTAGCAATAGATAATTGTATTTACACTCATGTCCATAAATTAAGGATAATGCAAAATCAGGCAAAGGAAGAGTTAGAAGCAAAACAAATTTGACTTATTTGTAAGCTTATTTATTAAATAAAAGGTAAAGAAGAGAAAAAAAAAAAAAAAAAAAGCTATATGTTTGATATTATTAAAAAAATTAGCGATTTTTTCTCCCTGAAGCAAATTACAAAAAACACCTATTTACATAAAACCAATATTACATGGTTGGTATGATTGTTAATACATTTATGTCTCCCAGACAATGCAATACAGTCCGTACAACGCCTAGGCATGCTGAGTATCAAATTATCGATCTGATCTTGGGGGATATTACACCACTCAAAAAGCAATGCTCTCCGAAGTTCCAGTAGACATGTATAGGAGGAGGTTGACGGGCTGAAACTCGTCGGCCAAGCATGTCCCACACGTGCTCTACCGGATTCAAGTCCGGTGAGAATGCTGGTTAGTCCATACGGGTGATATCCTCCGATTGAAGGTATTCTCTTACGCTGTTTGTAAGATGAGGACGGGTGTTGTCATCCATAAACACAAATCGTGCGCCCATGGCGCCCCGAAACAAATGTACATGTTGTTCCAGAATGACGTCCCGATAGATTTGGCTTGTCATAGTTCCAATTTGAACACGCAGGTCAGTTCTGGAACTCAGAATAATTCCACCCCAAATGAGCACTCCTGTACCACCGTAAGTGTCATTCAATGATGTTTTCTTGGTGGTAATGGGTACTTGTAGCTCTCCATAGGAAAGGTCTGGCGAGAATCAGACTGCAAGCTAAACCTGGACTGGTCGGAAAGCATCACACAAGCCCACTGTTGCGGTGTCCACAATGCATGCTCTCTACTCCAGGCTAACCGCAGGCGACAGTGAGTTGCAGTAAGTGGAACGCATCTGACATATCTACGAGCATATAGACCAATCTCTCCTAAGCGTCTGTACACGGTCTGCCTTGAAATTGTCGTACCAGTAGCTGAAGAGAGCTGACGAGACAGGTCTGAGGCTGTGCTCCGCCTGTTTCTTTTGGCAGTAACTGCCAAATACCGGTCCTCATTCGGCGTTGTAACTCTGGGGCGACCTGTGCTGTAATGTCTACTCACATTAACATCATCTTGGAATCGTTGCCAAAGCCTGGAGATGACACTCTGGGCAATTCCAAGTTCGTCTGATACTTACAGTTGGGTACGCCCACATTAAAGATGACTGATAATTCTACCATGTAAAAAATCATTCAAATGCGTCCTTCGTGTCATAACTATTTGGTTATTGCACTGAAATGCTTATAAAGCGCCTGCGAATAATTTTACTTCTTTGCCTGTATTCCTTATATATCACTCTCTTACACTCTCGTCATTGCGATGTACCATCGGTGTCATCTGGTTACTTCCTGAAATTTGCATATGATTCTTGAAGATGTGTGTAGTGATTTTACAGGTGATATATTTATTTTAGAGTTTATCCTTAATTTATGGACATGAGTGTAGTTAATACTCATAGAATTAATGACTAAATAATGAATACTTATAGAATTTTGTAATTTAAATTTTTAACAAATGAAATTTTTCTGACTTTTTATCACACTCACTGTTAAAAAATATTTATTAATTATAAAATATAACTATTAAAAGCAAAAATTGGTTTAAATTAATTAATGACATAAAAATTATAGTTTTGTAAATATAAGTTTAATTAATCCAAATTAAAATGTCTCTATTCAGCAGGAAAACCCATATTCATTATATACATTTATCTAGTTTTTATATTTGAATTAAATAACTTTCATAGGGAGGGGGGAATCTTACCAGATCCATCAGGTGAACCTGAAGGTGAGACTGTTACAGTAACAGATGACCCGTTACTAGAATCTTCTTTTGTACCACATGAATGGCTAAAAATATACAAAAAAGCATAATAACAGATTTTTGAAAATAAATATTCAAGTTGCATTTAACAAGTAATTTTAAAATTGCTACTTTTAAGAAATGACCTCTTAAGAAATGCGAAGAGGCTAGCGCATCGAGCGGCTACACCGCAGGTCCAGGTTTCGATAACCGGGCTGGGTAAGGTTGACTCAGCCTTTCATCCCTTGAGTGGGACGATAAAATGAATACCAAGTTTGCTTGGAGACTAAACACCGGGGGTCTCGCAACAAGCTGACCACTTGCCCAGGGCATATGCTGATGCACTCCGGGGCCCACTAGGGCTGTTGCACCACTGAGTTTAGTTTTAACTCTTAAGAAATATACTAAATAGCACAAATTTATCATAAGAAATATACTAAATAGCACAAATTTATCAATCTAAAATACTTTACTTTAGTTAGTCAATATCATATAAATACGAATAGGTATTGCTACTTTGGAAGAAAAGTGGCACAACTCGAAAACCAATATTTTAGAGGGGGGAAAAATCCAAGAAGTTTAACCTGAGTATCAAATTTAGTATGAAATTTTGTATGAAACCTGAGTATGAAATCAAAGTTTACCTGAGTATGAAAAGTGACAGTAATAAACATTACTGACACATTTCCACATAGAAATATACATTTTCCTTTTGATTGCAACATAAGTGAACAGAAGTATTTTTGTACTTATGCTGGTTTTCTTCCCAAGTAGCAATACAGTATTTGCATTTATATGCACTTAAATGTAATGTGTATATTCTGTAAGACACTTGCTGCTTTGAAAAAGTGGTGGTAATAACTCATGAGTAATATCATTGCAGATTTCATTTTTATTGTCAAATATATGATATAAAATTGTTTAGGAGTTAACACTATTTTTTCCCTTCTAAAGACAGTCTTTTATCACAAAAGACACTCTTTTTTATCACAATACATGCTATTGAGAAATTGAGAATTCATATATTTAACAGAGCTAAATGAAAACTAGAATTCTAACCACAACCTCTAAAATACAGCCCCAAGTATCAAAGTGGCTGTAGCTAAGGTACATCCACAGGCGTTCTGGGCTTAGTTTTTGGCAACTAAATGGACAGCAGAGAAAATTGAGAAATTCCCAATGAGATCCAAACTGAACTATTCAGTATAGTTTAGCAGGAATTACTACTACTGTATTTAACCACCTTTTTTATTTCATCATCCAAAAATCGAGAAAGGAAAGTTATGTGAATAATTTAATTTAAGGACACAGTTACAGTTAGAACATAAGAAATGAAAAGTAATCATAGATAAAGTACAGGTAACTACCATGATATTATTTCTTTGATATTTAAATAAGAATATATACAATGGAACCTCTGTATAAGGCAAATTTGCGATACGAGGAAAGTATGAACAAAAAATTTGTCTATAAATACGAGCACTCACTCAAGTAACGAGAAATGAGCCTGGCTGTTGACGCCATTTCCCGATCCGGTCGAATCGGGGATTTCCCTTGTCAGATTACTACTCAGTGTTCTTTTATATGTTTGTAGGGTTGTGAGTTGTCTTTTTGCAATTAACATGAAAATAATTATTTCACAATGCCTTTCAAGAAGATTGTTGCCTCAGATAGTGCTGCAAAGAAAAAGAAGGAAGCCATTGCTGTTGAAATTAAGAAAGAAATCACAAGCGTAGTGCAAGAGTGATGGAATTGGCGAAGATTTACATTTTTCGACATCAACGACATCGTCAATCTACACTATTCTGAAGAAGAAGGCAGATATTAAGAAACTTGATGTGGCCAAAGGAGTTACCATTACTTCCAAGCACCATCCAAAACTCCTAGAAGATGTTGAGAAGCCGTTGTTGGTGTCGATTAACGAGAAGGAGTCAAAAGGCGATTCGGCGTCGAAAGCTATCATTTGCACTAAGGTTAAGAATCTGCACCTGTACCTTCTCTGAAAACACCAGGTTCGTCGACTGAAGATGAGATGGCGTTTAAGGAAAGCCATAGATGGTTTGAAAAATTTTAAAAAAGAACTGGTGCTCACAGTGTTGTGTGACATGGAGAGGCTGGGAGCTCTAATACAGATGCTGCTGATGAATTTTGGCCAGAGTTCTTACAATATACTTCTAGTGAGAGCTTTCTTTCCCAGTAAGTGTTTAATTACGATATGATGAAACAGGTCTTTTTTGGAAGAAAATGCTTAAGAAGACCTACATCACACAAGAGAAATCTTTGCCTGGCCACAAGCCAATGAAAGATACGCTTACCCTCTTGTAACACAAGTGGAGATTGTAAAATCAAGCTGCTGCTCATCTACTACTCAGAAAATCCATGAGTTTTCTAGAGGGAGAAGGTGCAGAAGAAACAACTGAATATGATGTGGCCGGGCAACAGCAAAGCCTGGGTAACACGGCAATTTTTCATTGAGTTGGTAAATGAGGTTTTTGGTCCCTCAGTGAAGAAATACCTTCACAAAAATTAATTGCCACTCAAGGCTTTGCTTGTCCTTGATAATGAACCTGCACATCTTCCAGGGCTTGAACATGATTTGCTGGAGGAATTTCAGTTCATAAAAGTCAAGTTTATACCTCCCAACACCCCTCCACTTCTCCAGCCTATGGACCAGCAAGTTCTTTCCAACTTTTAAGAATCTGTAGCCTTGTTTCAAAGGTGCTTTGAAGTGACTGCAAATACAAGTCTCGCCCTCAGAAAATTTTGGAAAGATTACTTCAACATCCTAAACTGTTTAAACCTCATTGATAAGGTTTGGGAAGAAGTTTCAGTGAGGACCCTGTATTCAGCATGGAAAAACTGTGGCCTCAGAATATACCTGACTTAGGTTTTGAACCTCAACCTGTGGACAACACAGGGCAGCTAGTGAAAAAAATTTTATCTGTGGGAAAAGATATGTGTCTGGTTGCGGATAAGGCTGATCTGGATGAGTTAGTGGATGAGCATAGTGAAGAACTTACAATGGACTAACTTAGAGCTTCACAAGGAACAGCAGCAAGAGGTGTTAGAAGAGCTTTCATTAGGGGCAGAGAGAACAGGAGATTAGGCCCCCTCTTCCAGTAAGATTAAAGATGTTTTGGCAAAATGAAGAAACATCAAAACTTTCTTTGAAGAAAATCACCCTAATAAAGCAGTGTGTGGCCACACCATGAACTTGTGCATTAAGTTGTTTAACCCTCTCGCTGTGTATCCCACAATTTCCACAGGCAACACAGAAGTAGCAAAATTCGCACAATCCACGATTTTCGCAGGGATGCATATTTTTCGTTTATTTAACTGTGCAACCCACTCTTTTCCCATTCATGGTTTCATTTCGGCTTTTCTGTGATGTTTAGTTATTTAATCAGATCTGGGTTAACAGATGGCATTAGTTGTCCATATTTTTGTGAAATACACAAACATAATTTTTTTTTAAAGCATTTTGCGTGCTCTTTTCAAAGCTCAAAGATGTCTGTAGTTGAACTCTCAATCACATGAGACAAACTGCTTGACATTTTGCTAGATATATATATTCCCCAATTACACCAAGAAAGAAACTTGTAGACATTGTGCTGTTTGTTTCTAAAAAAAGAACTGAAACTGGCAAAAAAATTCTCAAAGAAACACGTATTTGGTGCAAAGATGGCGAGATAGGATGCCTCGAGTCTTGTTTAAAGTTTATCATATTACACTTCATTTCTAATAAATGTTTTGTAAATATTTTGCATATTTTCATTAGTATATACATTTAACCATTATATTCATTAGTATATACATTTAACCATTATATTTTGTAAAATAAATCTTAATTTAACCAAGATTATTTTTCAAAACTTTTCTTTTAAATGCTCATTCTTCAGTTTAAACTTTCCGACAACCTTTATTTTACGAGCTAATTCTATACTGGAAAAAAAAAACTCTTTTACAAAAACTTTTTGTATATTTTCATTCTAAAATATATGTAGATTTGAAATATGTAATTAAAAAAATTATGCAATTTTCGAACCTATTTTGATAAAAAAATTACGCAGCAAGAGGGTTAACGATAATAGTAGTTTGAAGAACCACTGATTGTACTCAGTGATATTGTGAAGAGCTGTACAACTATTTTTGTGGAAAATTCCAGATCTCTGAAGTGTTTCTTTTGATAAAATAAATTTTAACCACCTACCATCGCAGCTGTATGCATTCAACAGGGTTCATAGCCACATTTTAGTTAAAAAAACAAGCACCTATAAGCACTTTTCAAGTACATTTTAAGAAAAAAAATAAGCACCTGTCTAATTACATATACAGTAGACTCCCGATTATCCGCACCTGCCGCACAAAGTCGACTTCTTTCTTTTTTTTTTTTTTTTTTTCAAGCATAAAGCAAGGAAAATAAAATTTTCACAAAACTGAGTGAAACGTTCAATTTGCTAGCATTGTGATATTTATGAAATACTCCAGGTTCCACAAACCTTCCCCTTTCTACATGCGGTAAGAAGTACCAGTCAGATAAAGACCCAAAAAAGGGGGGAGTTACGGAAACTGCGGTGAGTAAGAACTCACGCTTACTACTGATGGTCCAGTCTTCACCTCCATGTATTTAAGTCGAAGGTTGTTAAGGGTTGGTTATTTCATAATAGCACAATGCTAGCAAATTGACGTTTCCTCAGTTTGGAAAATTTTATTTTCCTGCTTTTCGTGAAAAAAAAAAAAAAAAAGAAAGAAGTCGATTTGTGCGGCAGGTGCGGAATCGGAGTCTACTGTTATTAATTGACAGGTGCTTATTTTTTCTTAAAATGTACTTGAAAAGTGCTTATAGGTGCTTTCTTTTTTTTACTAAATTGCTATGAACCCTGTTGAATGCATAGCTGCGATGGTGGTGGTTAAAATTATTTATCAAAAACATTCAGAGATCTGGAATTTCACAAAATAGTTGTACAGCCTTCAAATATCACGCGAATCGTGGTTCTTCAAACTATATATCGTAACATCTTGTGGTAATTTTTATCAATGTTCGAAAATGCATCATTTTTTTAATACATATTTCAATCTACATATATTTAGAATGAAATATACAAAAAGTTTTTGTAAAGTTTTTTTTTTCCAGTATAGAATAGCTCGTAAATAAGGTTTCGAAAGTTTA